CCATGAGCGTGCCCAGCCTCTGCAGAACCAAGCAAAATGCCATGAAAATTGATGCTCCTACCCCGACACAAAAAACCCACAAACCCACATTGCTAGCCCAGCCCTGGGCTTCCCTCCCTGCCCCAGCTCTTCTGGTCCTGACCTGCAGCCCTCCGCGATCCCAGCCCCGGGCTCCCTCTGCACACACAGCTCTGCTGGAGCCCCTGGATCCCAACCCACTGTGCTCTGCTATCCTAGCCCTGTGCTCTCCCACCCCAGGTCTGCCAGTGCCCCTTAAGCCTGACCCGCAGCCCCCTGCTAACCCAGCCCTGCATTTGTCTCCCCACAGTTCTGCCAATCCCGCTGCATCCCAGTGTGCAGCCATTCTTGCCCTAGGCCTTGGCTGAACAGAAACGGACAATTACACCAACTCCCTGGCGTTTGTGGGAAGTTCAGAAACGTCCCTGTGGGGATGACAGCCAGAAAACAGACATATTTTCTCTGAGCAAGGCCACTGCTCAGACCCCTGCACCATGCAGACCCTTAGCTCCCCAGGCACTGCCCACAGCCCTGCCTCTCGCCAGCCAGGTGTCCACTTCTCCTGTCTTTGGGTGTAAGATGGTTCCTGGGCTTTGCCACCCTGGGCCCCTGGCTGCTTTGCCAATGCTCTGCCACCATGTAGTAGCCTTGAGGACGGAATAATTGACACTGGAGCGGTGCAGGTAGCTGCTGGGTCCCTCCTTGTCTCACTCATCTAATACACTGCCTTTGTCAAAGGTGTCTGTCCCTGCTGCTGGGGACTGGGTGGCCAAACTCCATTCCTAGCCTGGAAACCTGGCTCCAGCCAGTTTGAGAGCAGAGGGGGCTGCCTAGCTGGCGAGGGCTGGAGGTGACCCCTAGTTCTGATGAGGCAAACATGGCCCTAAACCAGGGGGTGCCCAGGTATCCCCCGTCAGGGGTCTGGTCACATTTCCCTGGGGGAGGCTGAGGGGGCACATGAAGCTAATGGGAACCCTGCCATCTCTGCCGACACCAGGGCATGAGCCAGGGGCCGTTCCAGTCGAAGCAAGAGGCTGGGGCTGCAATACACTCAGAGCCGCTGTGAATGGGGCCCCAAGGGGACCCCTCACACACACTAGTGCTGGTACCCTTAGGGAAGTGCCGCCAGGCAGGAGCACAGGCCTGCTGGGGGCCAGGAGACCCCCCACTGCACAGCAGGGAGACAAGAGGCTGACACAAAATGGGGGGTAAGGGGAACAGTCAGCAGTTTGCAGGCTCAGGCCTCCCTGAGGCACACACCTAGGACAAAATCCTAGTGTGTTCAGCCAGCCGGGCCCCGAGGTGAGCTAAGGTGCTGGCTGGGAGCAGCACCCAGCAGCGGGCAGAGCCCTCTGTGCCCAGGGGCAAAGGCTGTATGTGCATTGCTTCCCCCCCTTGGGGATGTACAGGGGTGGAGGGTTGGGTTCACACAGGGATACCATCCACTCACAGCCCTGAAAGGCGCCAAACTCATCACTGCTTGGGTGGGAGCCCAAGGGAGAGGAGGGGGTTGCTGACCCCAGCGCAGTAGTAGGGGCCCTGTGCTGCAGGGGGCGCTCTCCCCATAGCCCCTGCTGACCCCAATGCCCCAGTGCAGTGGTGGGGTGCTGTGCCTCTAAGCCCTAGGACTGACCACAGCAGCAGGCTGCGGCACTGGGGGATGCTGTGCTGGAATTGCAGAGGGGCAGCCCTGCTCCTGGTCAGGCGCTGGGAAAGGGAAAGGCCCGAGATTTCTGGGCCCAGGGGAAGGAGCCACACGCTGAACTCCCACCCCCCAAATTACCACCAAAGGCAGAGCAGGGCTTGCTGCTGACATACCCCACTCCCAGGCCACCCCCAATACTGACATGGGGCAAGGCTGTGGTGCACCAGGGACACCTAGTGGACGCAGTTTGCATGACTGGTGCCCCTGGGTGTAACCCAGGCCCAGCGGGGGCAGTAGGGGGCTTTGCTAGAACTAGCCCTGGGGCTGCATCGCTGCTGCCCGACCCCTAGAGACAGGCCTCCCCAGGGAAAAGAGGCCAGAGGGCTATCACTGCCCCAAGCACAGGGCAATTCCTGGGCCTGGGGAGCACACGGCTGCTCTAACGGGCGCTAGGCTCGGCCCAAGGGACCCCCATCCTGGGCCAAGGGGGGTATTAGCCAAGGTAGGACCCTGGCCCTCTCCCAGGGAGGCTAGATCGTGGAAGCTGGGAGCAAGGAGTGCAGGATCTGAGCTGCCCCCAGGAAGAAGGCGGCAGAGACAGGACCTGGGCAAGCAGGGGCCACACCCCCTCTGGCTGAGTGGTGAGCCCAGGGGCACTGTACAGGCCTGGAGCCAGAGGATGAACCAGAAGTGCACAGGCCTGGCCCATGGGTACTGTCAGGGCCATTTGATGGGGCCCAGATGGGTGAAGGGCCCAGCAGCAGGCACCATGAGGAATGAGAGGAGGAGCCTCAGCTTTTATTGGGGAAACCAGAGACAAGCTCAGCGCTTAGCTCTTTTTTCTTTAAAACCAAAATAAGTCAGTCTGAGAGCATGTGGGGGGAGGGAGGTAGCAAAGCAATGCCCAGGGGCAACATGGCTTTGCATCGCTGTACGCAGCCTGGCTCTGGCCCAGTGAGATCAGAGCAGCCTTCACCCTTAAGAGGCGTTGCTTGTTTCAGTGCCATACGAGCAATAAGCCAGGACGGGGCCTGCAGCCTAGGCCCTGGGCACCTGGCACAGAAGGCAAAGCAGTTGGGCTCCTGTGGAAATGAGGGAAAAGCTGCTGCGATCCACGAAGGCAAGGGGGATGTTCTCCAACACAGGGACAAGTGAGCAGCATACACAGAGCAGTCTGAAGAGCTCAGGGGAGAGACCTGACTGACAAGGGGCAGCAATGGGTGCTGGACGGCCCAGGAAGGGATGGTTCCCCAGGGCTGGGCTTCAGGAGTCGTCTCAAGAGCACTATCCCACTACCCAGGCTGGGCTCAGAGCTGAGTGAAAGCCTCGCAGGGTGTAAGCCCCACCCAAGCAGCACAGCTGGCCGTGCTGGGAGAGTGAATGGGCTCCCCAGAGAAGGGCTGGGCGAGGGCAGGTGCTGGGAGCTAGGGAAGGTACCAGGCTAGGAGCTCTGCTCACATGGAGGACAGAGGGGTGCTGGTGGCTCACCTAGAGCAGCTGGGAGCAGGGTGCATCTTGGGGAAATGACTCAAAGCCTCTTGGGCTGAGCAGCAGAGGAAGGGCCCTTGGTTCAGGGTGTTCCCCACCCCCAGCAGGTTTGATGTTGGCTGTTCAAGGAGAAGCAGAGTGCTGCACTCAGCCGCAGTGGGGCTGGGCCATAGGCTTGCACTGCCCCAGCCACGGCTGAGGCTGTCAGGCTCAGGGGCTGCCTGTACTGGGGATGAGGGGCTCCAGCAGAGAAGGCAGGGCGGCCTGGAGGGCAGCAGGCCCAAGACTACAGCCCAGGGCCAGCTGCTGGGTGCGGGCATGTGGCTGGGACTTCCCATGGGGGGTGCAGAGAGAAGAGCTGGGGGGCAGAAAGACTTGAAGGACTTGCCTATGCTGTAAGCAGAGCTCTGGAGAGATCCATGCTAGCCCAACACTGGCTCTGCAGCCTTCCAGCACCCACAGTCCCCTTGCTGCAGTGTTTAGAAACAGACCCAGGCTCCATGCAACCCTGGAGATTAATGGTTGGTGGTAGGAAAGCTGTTTAAAGTCAAGTGGCCCCTTCCTCCTGGGGAGAGACAGGCCATAGTAGGGAGTGCCATGAGGAATCTGCCATTCGGCGCTGTGTGCCACTAGCCCCAGGCTCCCCCCTTCACGGGAGCACAGTAGAGTCACGCCAACATCCCTGTCCCTGCACTAGAGACGGCCCTGCTGGGCTCAGCCAAGCAGCAAGCGCCCGTGATTCAGCCAAGGCCCAGTTACCCAGCACATGGGGCTCTGAAAACCCAACACCGGGTTCCTTTGACAGCAGTTGCGGGGTGGACATGCACTGGGGGCATGAGGGATGTGCCCTGCCCTGGGGTTTGTTAGCAAGGTGGCAGGGATCTGGGGTTACACAGCTGGGAGTGGACTCAGTGGCAGATTAACACACAGGCCCACAAGACCATGTCCAAGGGTCCCCACCCAAACCATGCCGCTCATCCCCCCGCCCCCTCCCCAGGCCCTTTTTGGCAAAACTGGACATTTGTCAGGATGTCTGGCTCAGGGCTTAAAAAGGGGACTGTCCCAGCCAAAATGGGACACATACTCACTCTAGGCTGTGGTACGGCAGCTCTTAAGGAGCTGAGCTCCGGCCCTTCCAGCTTCCGGCCCATGTCCCTGCCCCCTAGGGCATACTGCCCAGGGCAGGTGGAGGGTCCAGGGCTCCCCACAGTGGCCAGGGCTCCCTGGGCAGCTCTAACCACGGCTCAGCTCTGGCTTTGGGATCCAAATGGTTTTTTGTGCCTAGAGCCTCACTAAATCTTAATCTGACTGAGCGGGCTGCAGTCCCAGGGGCCTGAGGCTATGACCCAAGCACAGCCGGCCAGGAGCGATTGAGGGAGTTAGCCACAGAGGCTCTGATCTTTGGGGAGGAACCGCCACAGGCAGAAGGAAAAAGGAACGTTCTCCTCTTTATGGAGAGCCTAACTGCATCCCCTGCTGTGAGCAGCTTACCTCTGCCGGGGAGAGGCGTGCCTGCAATGTACCTCCTTCTGGCTCTGCCAACCCCACCTGCTCCCCTGAGCCTGATACAGGGCAGCGCAGCCCATCCCCTCTCTGTGGGGCTGCTAAGGACAGAAGCTAGCAAAGGCTGATCGCAGGGCCTCCTCAGCTGGCTGGCACTGGGGGCTTCTGGGGCAGTGTTGTGGTAGAGTTGGCCAGTTTATGGGAGCACAGAGACTGCATCCCCTCAGGGACAGAGCAAGGGGGGAAACGGGGGGGGACACGGGAGTTAAAACCCAAGCATCCTGCAGAGGGATTTTAGTGAAAGGCAACAATCCAGAGCGATGAACAAGGACTCCAGGCACGGGTGTTTAGTTTACAAGGTCTGTAGTTAAGGACGGACACAGGAGGTGAGCAAGAGACAGACAGAGCGTGCTGCAGCAGCCACGTGGGGTCTAGGAGAAGCCCTTGTAGGCATCCAGGTTGAAGGCGATGTCCAGGAAGCGATGGAGCTCAGTCAGGTGGGTCTTCTTGTTGCCAGTGGCTGGTGCAGCAGCTGGGTCGCGGCCGGCGTACCTATGGCAAGGGAGGGAGAAGAAGCAGCTCAGATGAGGGCCAGTGCAGGGACGGGGCATTATGCTGGACTCAGGTCTGGGACGGCTACATACAGGCCTGGTCTAGCAACAGGAAAGCTGGATGGAAGAGAGAGAGGGCCAAGATCTAGTCACCTCGCCTAGAAAGAAATGCTGTATCATGTGCAGACCCCCACTGCCCAAAGCCCAGTGCCCACCAACCAGGGACTAGCCCCGGCTGCCTGCAGCACCCCACCCCTGGTTGTTGGCCACAGCACAGACCCTGTATCAAGCCCTTGTCCCTCACTCAGTTACCATCTTGCGGAGAGTGCCACGAGAGCAACATGCCCACTGAGACCAAGCGGATCTTTCCTCCTTATTAGGTTATACATGAGCCTATGTGAGTCTTACTGTTTTGCATGAATGCTGTGTGTGCCTCAGTTTCCCTGTATATTGCACCAATGCCTAGGTGGTGGGAATAAGGGTGTGTGACTTTTGCTGAGACCCTCGGGGGCAGGTGAGGAAGCTCCAGCTGCCTGCACATAAAGTGATGGCTGATTCCCTTTGTAACCTGAGACCCAGGAGGGGGAGGAGACCGGAGGACAAAGACCAAGAAGAGGGGCAACAGGTGTGTCAGAGGTCAGGTCACTGGAAGCTGGGCAGTCTCCTGTTTGGGACTTGGACGGGGGGAGTCCAGTGCGTCCGACCTGGGGTCCCCACAAGATGGATTTGGCTGAAACTCACTGAAAGTGTGGGACTCTTACTGAATGGGGGAGGCAACATAGTGATAGATGATGTGGAAAAAGCTGAAGTACTCAATGCGTTTTTTTGCCTTGGTCTTGACAGACCAGGGTAGCTCCCAGACTGTTGCACTGGGCAACACAGCATGGGGAGTAGGTGAGCAGCCCTCAGTGGTGGAAGAACAGGTTAAGGACTATTTAGAAAAGCTGGACATGCAGAAGTCCATGGGTCCAGATCTAATGCATCCAAGGGTGCAGAGGGAGTTGGCTGATGTGATTGCAGAGCCACTGGTCATTATCTTTGAAAATTTGTGGCGACTGGGGGAGGTCCCAGATGATTGGAAAAAATGCAACTCTAGTGCCCATCTTTAAAAAAAGGGAAAAGAGAGAACCTGGGGTACTACAGACTGGTCAGCCTCACTTCAGTCCCTGGCAAAATCATGGAGCAGGTCCTCAAGGAATCCAATTTGAAGCACTTGGAGGAGAGGAAGGAACAGTCAACATGGATTCACCAAGGACACGTCATGCCTGACCAACCTGATTGCCTTCTATGATGAGATAACTGGGTCTGTGGATATGGGAAAGCGGTGGATGTGATACATCTTGACTTTAGCAAAGCTTTTGATATGGTCTCCCACAGTATTCTTGCCAACAAGTTAAAGAAGTACGGGTTGGATGAATGGACTATAAGGTGGATAGACAGCTGGCTAGATTGTCGGGCTCAACAGGTTGTAATCAACGGCTCGATGTCTAGTTGGCAGCCAGTATCAAGCGGCATGCCCCAGGGGTTAGTCCTGGGGCCGGTTTTGTTCAACATCTTTATTAATGATCTGGATGATGGGATTAATTGCATCCTCAGCAAGTTTGCAGATGACACTAAACTGGGGGGAAAAGGTAGATACGATGGAGGGTAGGGATAGTGACCTAGACAAATTGGAGGATTGGGCCAAAAGAAATCTGATGAGGTTCAACAAGGACAAGTGCAGAGTTCTGCACTTAGGACGGAAGAATCCCATGCACTGCTACAGGTTGGGGACCAACTGGCTAAGCCGCAGTTCTGCAGAAAAGGACCTAGGGATTACAGTGGTCAAGAAGCTGGATATGAGTCAGCAGTGTGCCCTTGTTGCCAAGAAGGCCAATGGCATATTGGGCTGTATTAGTGGGAGCATTACCAGCAGATTGAGGGAACTGATTGTTCCCCTCTATTCGGCACTGGTGAGGCCACACCTGGAGTATTGTGTCCAGTTTTGGTCCCCCCACTACAGAAGGGATGTGGACAAATTGGAGAGAATCCAGCGGAGAGCAACAAAAATGATTAGGAGGCTGGGGCACATGACTTACGAGGAGAGGCTGAGGGAATTGGGGTTATTTAGTCTGCCGAAGAGAAGAGTGAGGGGGGATTTGATAGCAGCCTTCAATTACCTGAAAGGGGGTTCCAAAGAGGATGGAGCTAGGCTGTTCTCAGTGGTAGCAGATGACAAAACAAGAAGCGATAGTCTCAAGTTGCAGTGGGGGAGGTCTAAGTTGGGTTTTAGGGAACACTATTTCACTAGGAGGGTGGTGAAGCACTGGAATGGGTTCCCTGGGGAGGTGGTAGAAACTCCATCCTTAGAGGTTTTTAAGGCCCGGCTTGACAAAGCCTTGGCTGGGATGATTTAGTTGGTGTTGGTCCTGCTTTGAGCAGGGGGTTGCACTAGATGACCTCTTGAGGTCTCTTCCAACCCTAATATTCTATGATTCCTGTGCTTACAAGCTCTGTTCTATGCTGCGTTCCTATCAACTAATAAACTTGTGTTACACACTGGCGGAGAGTCACAGCTGGCTGTGGAGCAGGGGTGCAGGGCCCTCTGGCTTCCCCAGGGGTCCTGTCTAGGTGGTCCCACCAAGGGGAAGAATACGGTGTGTGAACAGGGATGCTGAAAGCTCCGAGGTCAGTCCCAGGAAGGCCATAGCCAAGGAGGCTTTTTGCTCTGGACAGCCTGAAGGGAGTTGCGCCACCCCAGAGTCCTGCCTGGCTTCATAAAAAGCAGTTCCAGAGCATCGGGCCTGTGACTCTGTCACACCCACCCAAAAGACTCCACTCCCCAGCGCCACTGTGAGATCTCCATCCCTACTTCCACGCGACATTGAAATCCACTAGGGAGCCAGTGGCCTGAGATATACCACCTGTAGCACCATGCCACACTGCCCACCCGTGGGGAGGTCCCGAGAACAGGACAAGGTGCGGCTGCCTCCCACGGCACTTGCCCGTCACGGTGCAGAGGGATGGCCCTTACCACACGGGTTTGGCACGGTCGATAGTCGTGCGGAGCCGGGGTTTCACGTAGTCGTAGTAGCCCTGGTTCTTGTGCTCCTCCTGGCACCAGGCCAGCTCGGCGTTGGGGTACTTCAGCGCTTCCCTCTGGAGGAGGTCGAAGGGGAACGGGGACAGCTGCAGGGGAATGGGGAGGGCTCAGTTCCACTGGGGCACGCAAGCAGCGGAGGCAGGGTGCAGGCAGCTGCAGCCACTGTTGGGCTGTGCAGTGGGCCATGCAGCCTCCGTGCTCACAGTTCAGCCTGTGCTGTCTCAGCAGCATCTCCCAATCCCTCACGGACACACTTAGAAGCTCTGGGGTCGCCTGGGCTGAGCCTGAACAACCCTTCCAGGCCCAGGAGCTTGTACGGTGGGGAGCACGCTGGGCTGGCCAGCACCACTCCCACCAGCAACAGGCTCTCCCCTGCAAATCTGTACAGATACCTCAGCTCTGCCCTTGCTGCCCACCCAGGGGTGCTGCGCAGCGTCTCCTGGGCTCAGACTGAAGAGACAGGATCGAGCTGGCCCCTCTGTCCGTCCCTTCTCAGGTGTGGTGATGTTGTATTTCTGCCTGCTCTCTGCCCTGAGGCTGGGCTGGGCCATTAAGCAGTGGGAGTGGGGCAAGGGACAGAGCGCTCTATGTCTAATCCAAGACGTGTCTGCTGTGGCTCAAACTCCTCATGGCTCCTGGGGATGTGGAGTAAGCCCAGTGATGAGCTGAAGCAGGGTAGCAGCGGGATTGGCCATTGGCCCCTGGCCTACATGGAGCCCCCTGTGGTACAGACACGCTCACCTGCTCCACCCTGGTGATGGCCACGTCTGGCTCCATGTCCCGGGCCTTGCGCTCCCGGGTGAGCTCGTAATACACTTTGCCAGTGCAGAAGAGCACCCTCTTGACGTGGTCGGGGTTCTGGGCTGCAGGGCCGCTCTCAGGGATTACGCGCAGGAAGTTAGTGCCTGTAGTGCAGCACAGACAGCAGTCGGGGACACGCCTCAACATCCCAGGGGCCACACGTGGTGGGAGGGGGAATGTTAATGGGGGCCAGCTACGGGCCTGGACCCTGCGGGATTGGCTACGCCTGCAGAAGGACCAGGCTAGCTCAGAGATGGTTAAAGCCTAGAGACCCCACTGAGATTGGGGCTCCATTGAGCTGGGGGCTGTGCAGGGAGAGAGACAGGGGGAAACAAACAGTCTGAAGCACACACCGTCCTGGTGCAGTTCTGGACTGTCACACACGTGGACAGGAGCCAGAATTCAGAGACCTGGGAGCAGGGCAGGGTGCTGTAAAGAGGAGAGAGAAACTGCCCTCTTGTGGTATGAACCCTGTTCTGCATCTCTCCGGTTCACTCGCACCCTTGGACATTGGAAACACCCTTCATACCTGGCAACATATCATCAAAGCTGGAGCGGGCTTCAGGGTGGCGCAGCAGTGACTTTGGAGTGAAGATGATCAGCTGGAAGATCAAGGCAAGGCAATCAGAATGGGCTGGAAATAGCCTTTCTGGCACACAAGCTGCACATTGGAGACTGGATCATCACTACAAGAGCCAGAGCACAGACCCTCCCTCCACACCCCAGTCTCCGGTCAGCTGGTTCCCGCCCAGCCTCTGCCCAGCCCCCTAATTCAAGTGCCATTGATGAACTGTATGTTTAATCCAGGCAGGAATCACAGAAATGTCCTAATTCTCCCATGCCAGCCAGAGAGAAAGACTGAAGCCAAAGGCTGCTCCGGGGCAGGGCAACGTGAAGCAGTGTGCAGAACTCTGGCCCTGCCAGCAGGCCTGGTTGCGTGTTGCTTCCTTTGCACAGCACTCAGGGCTACTTGCTCCTTCTAGCCCTTTCGTTATGGAATAACGTGAAGGTGGCTCGAATGCCACTGCCGAGATAGAAGGACAGGCGTTTCCAGTCTGGGCAGAGCTCAACTGAACCTTGGCAGACATGGTTATTTAATAAGTGCCAGTCACAGAGCCCCAGTGTGCTTGGTAATGTACAGCTCACCTGTACATTACCAATGTACAGGCACAGACTGCCCAGCCTTTAACAGGACTTCCCCATTTATACCTGGCTTTGTACGGCTGTTCTTAATACCGGTGTCTCTTATTAGGCAATAGACCTTTACCAGAGCTTGTTAGTATCTATCCATTAACCAGGTAAAGGACAGAGCACAGAACTGGTCAGACAACTGGGTTTCCCTCCTTCCAAAAGGGGAGTTTTTGGCAAAATATTTCAATCCTGAAATGCCACCGTAGTGCCCTATGGGAGTTGTAGTTCTCTATAGTCAGGGCTCCCTGTTGGACTACATCTCCCATGATGCATCACAGTCACCGCTCTTGGGAGAGGAGGCAGTCATGTGACTGTAGTGCATCATGGGAAGTGCAGTCTGGCTGGTTTTAGAGTAGCAGCCATGTTAGTCTGTATCAGCAAAAAGAACAGGAGTACTTGTGGTACCTTAGAGACTAACAAATTTATTTGAGCATAAGCTTTCGTGGGCTAAAACCCACTTCACTGAATGCATGCAGTGGAAAATACAGTAGGAAGATAGACACACACACACCATGAAATAATGGGTGTTATCATAACATTAAAAAAACAGTTGGAGAACACTTCAATCTCCCTGGTCACTCAATTACAGACCTAAAAGTTGCAATATTACAACAAAAAAACTTCAAAAACAGACTCCAACGAGAGACTACTGAATTGGAATTAATTTGTAAACTGGACACCATTAACTTAGACTTGAATAAAGACTGGGAGTGGATGGGTCATTACACAAAGTAAAACTATTTCCCCATGTTTATTTTTCCCCCCTACTGTTCCACACACGTTCTTGTCAACTGCTGGAAATGGCCCATCTTGATCATCACTACAAAAGGTTTTTTTTCTCTCCTGCTGGTAATAGCTCACCTTACCTGATCACTCTCGTTACAGTGTGTAAGGTAACACCCATTGTTTCATGTTCTCTGCGTATATATCTCTTCCTATATTTTCCACGGCATGCATCCGATGACGTGGGTTTTAGCCCATGAAAGCTTGTGCCCAAATAAATGGGTTCGTCTCTCAGGTGCCACGAGCCCCCCTGCAGTCTGGCTGGGGGAACCCAGCTCACAGAAGAGAACATGAAGCACCTGAAGAACAAGGCACCTTGGCAGCATTCCAGAATTGAAGTATTTTTGTTTTTGGGTGCTCAGTTTTTTGTTTTATTTTTGGACAAAAAATTTTATTTTTTTGCATGGAAAGCAAACACATTTTGCAAAAATTTTGGTCAAAATCTCAATTTTCTGCTGAAAAACAGTTTTGGTGGAAAATTTGACTAGCCCTACTGGAGCACTCTAGAAATTAGCTTTAAATCCAGGTCCTAAGCCCTCCCAGCACCAGCACCCATGCCCCCCCAAGCATTGGCTTTAACCTAGCACTTGAGCTACAAGACAATGGTGCGTGGCCGGGTCCATACCAGGGCAGTGTCTAGAGCTCACTGACCGGTTTCCGGAACGGGAGGTGTATCTGCCTCCGCAGGACGTGGAAGAAGTTTGCTGGAGTGGAGCAGTTCACAACGATCCAGTTACAGTCGTACAGCTGGCGTACATCAAAGTCATCGAGTTTCTACAGCATATGAAAAGTAGAAACGGTTTAGACAAAATCGCGAACGTCCCACATTAACAACCTGCATTTACGCCTGCCAGCGGCTCCAATATGAACAGAGACATGCCATGTGAGTCAACTGCAGTACCCCAACATGGGGGCCAAGAGTCTCTCTTGCTCATCACTAGCCCAGGACCAGTGGTTAGCTGAATGCAGCGGCCCTAACCTGCAAGCTCAACCTTAGAGTATTTCAAGCCCAGGCAAATTGGGACAACTTGGCTCTTAAAAGTCAAGTTTAGTTAAGTGTACTTAAAAAGTATGCTTATGAAAGCTTATGCTCAAATAAATTGGTTAGTCTCTAAGGTGCCGATGAAGTGAGCTGTAGCTCACGAAAGCTCATGCTCAAATAAATTGGTTAGTCTCTAAGGTGCCACAAGTCCTCCTTCTCTTTTTGCGAATACAGACTAACACGGCTGCTACTCTGAAACCTTAGTTAAGTGTGTCACTTTAGTTTTTCCATTTCAACTGAGGTAGGATTTTAGCAGCAGGTATCTCAAAGCCACTGGAGTCCCGATCTATACTCTCCATTGATTTTTCTGCCTAGCAGGGCTTTTAGGACACTGCTCAAGAATGAACACAGCAAATCCTGGGCCAGTGTAACTTTCTACTTTCCCTTTTACATGATCCCCTTAGGTGGTTTTCAGCCTATCCCGGCTTCTTAGTGCCTCCGTGTCCCTAATCCAAAAAGGGACAGCCCCCCTAAGTGCATGGGCCAGCTGTGGAGACAGCACAGGCTGAGAGCAGGGGAGCTGCAGGTTTGTACAGGGCTTTTGGAGCCACTCCGAAGTACTCCAATAAACCCCCCACAGCTATGGCACCGGGAAATCGCTCCCTAATATAAATGGGCCTGAGAGCAATGGGTGTGACTCTGATGACAGCTTCTGGAGAAAGCCAAGGAGGAAAGAGGAGAAGCATGGAGTTCCATGCGCTGGCCTTGCTTGGGTTACAGCCAGCCTTTACTGCCCCCACGTTAGTGCTCTGCTCATTCTGTGCTAACACAGCAAGGGACATTTCTGAGTCCCCCTTGATAACCCAACCTAAGTCTTCCTGACTCTGGGGACAGGGGAAGCCCAGGAGTCATTAAATGTGAGTCACCAGCACAACACTGCTTCCTATATCCTGCTCCCCCGGCCTGCTGCCCAGAATCCAGGTGCTCTGTAAAATTGTTCCATGTGTTACCATCCTATCCACAAAATCCCCCAAAGCTGTTTCTGGAAGCCTTTGCTGTGTAGTGGTCAGAGTCAGGGACAGAGCAAGTGCTCCAAGATGCAGGAGGGGAGAGATGGGAAAGGCCCCAAAGGGAAAGTGTGTGAATTCAGCACAGCCAGACACTTACGGGGAAGACATCTGGATCGTCGTTGCACATCTGCAGGAATCGCTCTGGCCTGGCTGACGAGTGCTCGGGACCCTGTGGGCAAAACCAACAAGAGGTGAAGCGAACCACACATGCAAGTTTCCATCTTTAAGAGAGCTCTCCACGCCTCGTAGAGAGGCTGGCTGATGCTAGTCACTGTTTGAGGAGGACCTTGGTATGTACTGCCCAACAGGATTTCACTCTGGTTTAAAAGTGCAGAAGTTTTGATTTTTACTAAGAAGTAGGTCGAACAGCTGCAGCCGTCCCTTAGTACTGAACTCTAGACTCCACTCCCAGAGCCCCAACAAGCCCCTAGGCCGAGCCCTGTTGCTCCCAATCCTCTTCCATTCAGCCAGATACTCTCACCTGCAGAGCGGCTGGCACTGCTCCCAGCCACATGGAGTCCAGGCCCCTCTGCAAGCTGTTAACACACAGCTGTACGGAATGCAGTGACATGGGCTGGTGCAGGCCAGGTAATACAGCTAAAGAGGTGGGCAATCTCCAGATTGCAGGACTACCCCAATGCTCCCAGGTGACTGGTCGCACAGAGACCTGGTCTATGCAGTGTCTGGCCTGAGGAAGCGTCCTGGGGCACTATGAGAACTGTGGCATTGAGCTGTCAGTACTGCCCAGAAAGATAGGAAGTGAGTGCATCCTTACCATGCCCTCCATGCCATGGGGCAGCAGCAGCACGATGCCATTCTGTCTCACCCACTTGGCCTGGCCGGGGCAGATGAACTGGTCAATGATGCATTGAGCAGTGTTGTGGAAGTCACCGAACTGGGCCTCCCACAGCACTAAGGCATTGGGACTGGCCATAGCAAAGCCCAGCTCGAAACCTGCAGAGAAGAGAGAAGAAGAGTGAAGAGGCCATATCCACCAGCACCTGGCACAGACAGCCCAGCACTAACTAGCCCTGTGGCTGTCATGAGCCAGGCGAAGAACCCCCAGCGACACTGACCTAGGACTCCATACTCCGACAGGGAGCTGTTGCAGACAGTGTAAGGAGCTTGGTTTGGCCAGAGGTGGTTCATGGGGATGCAGGTCCTCTTGTCTACATTCTGGTCATGCAGGACATGGTGACGATGGCTGTGGGAGGAGACAACGTCCAGCAGTAATGTTACTTAAGTGTTATCCTACCCAATGGGTCAGAGTAAGTGCCTGCACGCAAGTGGCTGCCTGGTTCACGCTGCTCTGCTGAGAGGCTTGGCTTGCAACTGTCGAATGCAATGAAGCCAGGTTACGATCATATCTAGGAGCTGCCCATACTAACACCATTAGTGCTGTGAAAGGGACCCCTCCACCCACAATTTGGGCTCCTCCCTTGCCTTTCAGCAGAGCTCCAGCCTGGCAGGCAATTTAAGACTGGCCTCTTCTATTCCCCACTCAGCAGCCCCTTGAGGAGGGCTGGGATCATCTTTTACTGGGGGAAACCCCCGGCTTTACCTGAATGTCCCCCTCTCGACATCCTGGCCACTCAGTCGGATGTGGATTCCCTCTTTGAGGAGGGAGCCAAATGCCATGTACTCTGCTAATGCCCAGTCTACTGTCCTGTTCTTAACCAATTCCCAGCGGGTTTTCAGAATCCGGCTCAAACCTGCAGAGATAAAAAACAGTTTGCAGCCCGCTGGAGAGGAACTGCAGCAACATACTATGCAAGCAGCCTGAGGCTGGGGCAACACAGCTCACGCTATCAACCCATCCATCGGCAATCTGGATTCCCTGACATGCAGACGCTCTGGACATAACGGGACAAAAGGGAGGTGGACTGTTCCAGCTTAGCACAGGGTAAAGGCAGGGTAAAGCACATATAGGTAAAGAGCAGAGGAGACCACCTCTGAAAAACAACTGGAGTTCCTGGTCATTCTCTGTTTTCTTTTACAAACATGGTTTTCACTGAGCCAACTTCACCAGCATTAGGAGCACTCACTGCCAGACATCACCCGCCGGGAGAGGAGACCTGAACTCTAATCTCAGAGGAGTCCGAGTGGTAGTGGAGAGAACAATTTCTGAGGGCTGGGTCAAAAGCATGGGCATTGCCAGGCCCACGGCCAGAAGGTACTACAAACAAACTGGGTAGGCTGGTGCAGCAGAGGAAAGATTAGCCACTCCGAGGGCGACAGGTATGGTTAATGTGTTTATAATGAGGATGAGGGGTCTAGATTCATGTCACCCGACTGTGGAACTCACAAGAAGCTCTAAAGGTCAAGAACTTAGCAAGATTCAAGGAGCCAGTCTGGCAATCTATTCGGCATTGGTGAGGCCTCATCTGGAGTACTGTGTCCAGTTTTGGGCCCCACACTACAAGAAGGATGTGGAAAAATTGGAAAGAGTCCAGCGGAGGGCAACAAAAATGATTAGGGGACTGGAACACATGACTTATGAGGAGAGGCTGAGGGAACTGGGATTATTTAGTCTGCAGAAGAGAAGAATGAGGGGGGATTTGATAGTTGCTTTCAACTACCTGAAAGAGGGTTGCAGAGAGGATGAATCTAGACTGTTCTCAGTGGTACCAGATGACAGAACAAGGAGTACTGGTCTCAAGTTGCAGTGGGGGAGGTTTAGGTTGGATATTAGGAAAAACTTTTTCACTAGGAGGGTTGTGAAGTGCTGGAATGGGTTACCTAGGGAGGTGGTGGAATCTCCTTCCTTTGAGGTTTTAAGGTCAGGCTTGACACAGCCCTGGCTGGGATGATTTAGTTGGGGATTGGTCCTGCTTTGAGCAGGGGGTTGGACTAGATGACCTCCTGAGGTCCCTTCCAACCCTGATATTCTATGAATCTCTGTAAATACCAGCTGGGGCCTTTGGGCATTGCCATAAGGAGGCTTTTTTTCTTTTTTTTGAGAGGAAGGATGGTCCAGTGGTTAGGGCACTAACCTAGGACATGGGACATCTGGGTTCGAGTCCCTGCTCTGCCTCAGGCTGCCCATGTGACCTGAGCTAGTCCCTTAGCCTCTCTGGGCCTCAGTTTCCCCTCTGCACAATGGCGATACCAGCCCTGCTTGCCCCACAGAGGTATGAGGATAAACACATTAAAGATGGGAAACATCTCAGATACTAGTAATGGGGGCCAGATAAGCACTCTCAGAAGTCTCATTAGCACTCAGGTGGTCACCCACATCCCAATCATCATACTTTGGGTCTGAACCACCATATTGAAGTCCCTGTTTACTCAGAGTGGAAGATCAGAAGGGACATTAGATCACCTAGTCCTGTACAGCACACAGGCCAAGGAATTTCATCCAGTTACCCCTTCGCTGGCCCAACAACTTGTGTATGACTAAAGCATCTCCAGAAAAGCAGCCAGTCCATCTGAAGGCACCAAGAGAGGGAGAACCCACCATTTCCCTTAGTAGTTTGTTCCAATAGTTAACCATTCTAGCAGACCTTCTCTCTCCCACTCCCCAGGCTGGCCTACGGCTTCAGTCTACAGCACCAGAGACCACGACTCCCTGTAGATCGTGGTGGAACAACTCTCACTCACATATCACAGGGGTAGCCGTGTTAGTCTGTATCCACAAAAAAATGAGGAGTCCAGTGGCACCTTAAAGATTAACAGATTTATTTGGGCATAAGCTTTTGTGGGTAAAAAACCCACAGTATTAACCATCTCCTCTACTCTGTAAAGCATCCAGCTCTACACAGAATAACCACCGCCGAGACTGGGGTGCCAGGGGCATCTACTCCAGCACGTCTGTACCTCCATGAATTGTGAAATCCTCAACAGGCACTGAGCTGGCCACCTTGCCTATATGGGCCAAGTCTTCTTCATTCAGACCAGTAGAGGGACAGGTCATGCTCCGGGGCTGGCCCTCAAGAGTGAAGAAACCTGGGGAAGGAGGAGAGATCATCCGTGACCTGGTGAACGCCAGGCTGTCTCTGTAGTTAGAGTATTTGATGACTATGTTACAGAACCTTCTGTACTCTCTGATGTGGAAGGGAATTTGGGATGCAGAGCAAACCCTGAGCTGTTCCACCTCTGTCAGTACAGACAGAGCCCATACAGTGATACAGTCCCCCATGCTTTCCCAAGGGATGCATTTTGTTCACCAGGCTCGACTGGTATATTTCCCACTCTCTTCATTACATGTCCTTGGAGACATACAGCCCCTATCTGTGCCAGAAGTCAAAGGTCTAATCCATTGGAGGCAGAAGTAGTTCCTGAACTGTGGCCATTTGTCAGGGAAGCCACTAGTTACTTACCAGGCCAGGGGGAATCCAGCCAGTGCTTGATGTGCAGGATTTTTTCATCCTTGGATCTGGCATGGGCCTCTTCACAGATCCTATCATACTTGGAAATTTCCTCCTGAGAGCAATAGGGCAGAATATCATTACTGAGAAGTAGCCAAGTAAGAGTGCTGGGGTTAAAGGCCATGCCTCTCCTTGCTGCTCCCTCTCCATTTCAGCACAAAGTCTACGTGGATCCCAGAGGGGGCATTTTCACATCCACCTCCTCTTCAGACACTTTAAACCCTATCCCCCACTCATCAGTTAGGACCTGGACCACAAATGTGCCTCGCATCACATTCATGGCTGCTGCACGCTGCTGTGCTTGTGCCTGACCATACGACATTAGGGACGAGAGGTCAGCACTGCCAGGGCACTGCCTACTGCTGGCTGTGTGCCAGTTAAGAGCTTATGTCCTTCACTGATGCCAAAGCTACATGAAATACAAAATCCAGTTCCAGTGAGGCATCCCATATATCCCTGACATTAGGAAATGCCGCAGCCAGTCAATGGGTCTGAATGCTCAAGAGGCAGAATAAAGCACTTTTCAGTTAGGTCCCATTGACACAATGCAAGCAACTATGTGAGGAGCACAGGTACAATACCGTCTGATCTTATAGTGCAGGCAAGGCTTACAGTGCACGAGTCACCTGTGTTCCTGAACTATGTCTACAACCCTGCTAAAATTCAAGGGAGTTTTGCCATGGATGTCAATGGGGCCAGGGTTTCACCTCAAGACTGCAGCATGGCTCAAAAACACAGATAATTACTGCTGTGCCCCAAATACACTGAAGGTGGAACGATGCTGGTACAATTACTGTATTGTAAGTGGGTAACCAAAATGGTAGCATATAAAGACCACAGGCCTTATTCACACTGGGTCTATAACTGTACCAGCTACAACTGGGTTTAAATGGAGTCCGTGTGTTTCCAGGACCAGTGCAGAGAGGGATTTTCTGCCCAAGAGCAGGTTCTAATCAACAGCATGGATGATCTTGTGCTGCTCTCAGAAACAGCATTAGCTTCTTTAGTCAGGGGAACCTTGCTAGGAATGCTAGCAACAAGTATTGAGGACCCTTGGATGCCTAACTCTGAGCTCCTTCCTTACAAACACATCAGCAGATCTTTAGGCACCCCTTCAGTACTCCCCAACCCAGACCCCTCAGGGCAAGGCAATGCTACACTACACTACACTGCCAAGTCAGCAGGGAGGGGTGCAGTCATGTTATGCAACTATGCTTGGTACACTGGTAACCTTCACATATTTCTTGCATTATATTACATTTGCATTTCCCCCCATTCAGCATTCTTATTTGCCAGCTAGATTTAAGGGGTTGTGACTGATAACGGACTGCATCTTTCTTCTAAAGCACTGGGGGACAATACCTCGTACTCCGGCTGATTTACCACCCCCTCTGAAATTAACATCTCGGCGTATTTTTGCAGCACAGGTTTCTGCTTCCGGATCTGCTTGTACATCAACGGCTGGGTGAACATGGGTTCGTCCATCTCATTATGACCATTCCGCCTGTAACACACCTAGTGCACGAGGAAAGAAAGCCATAAAAATAGCCAGTCTTCAATCCCTATTTCAGAAGCCAAAAAAGCAGTCGCATTTACATTGATCTGTATGTGGGATGTACCCATGATGAAGGAAATCATGTACAGCCTGAAGGCAGAGGGCCTGATTTTGATCTCATTTAGACTAGTGTAAATCAGGAATAGGTTCCACAGAAGTCAATGGAGCGACTCTGGTGTAAAACTAGAGTAACTAATGACTTAATGGAATGGTTTCACCCCAGTTTAAAAGAAAAACTACAGCTATTTGAGCTGTTACAGGAAAATTAGCATCTACTTTTCTTCAAGCACAACACAGCTACATTTTCAGTGCCTTGTTTTCGCTTAGATATTTCTTTAGATGCCTCTCCACCACAACTACCAGAACCAGAGAACAAAGGGTTAAGGTGCAAAGAAGCACAAGAGGGTCATTATTTATTACACCTCTACCCCGATAGAACGCAGTCTATGGGAGCCAAAAAATCTTAACGCGTTATATGTGAAACCGCGTTATATCGAACTTGCTTTGGCTCCCCTGCTCTTTGTCCCCTGACCACCCCCCTCCAGAGACCCCCATCCCTAATCACCCCCAGGACTCCACCCCCTACCCAAACCCCCTGCTCCTTGTCTGCCCCGCCCCCTATCCACACCCCCGCCCCCTGACAGGCACTCACCGGCAGTGGTGGGAAGCGGAGCAACGTGGCCCCAGCCCACTCCACTCCGCCAGCTCCCAGCTGTGGCGTTCCGCTTCCCACCGCTAGTGAGTGCGGGGGCCGGGGCGAGGGAAGCGGAGCGGGCTGCTCCCAGCCCCCCACTAATCACCCAGGCCACTCTGGGCCTGCGGGACCCCCAAAAATGCCCCCCACAGCTCCTGCCCCCCAGACCATTGTGGGGGGCGTGGAGGCCTGCTTTACTGTGTTGTATGCGAACCCGTGTTATATCGGGTCATGTTATATCAGGGTAGAGATGTATTTGGATTACAGTAGCACCTCTGAGCCCCAGTCATGGCCCACGAACCCATTGTGCTAGGTGCTGTACAAACAGTCCAAGACGCCTCCAATGGTCCATCTGAAGAGCATTTTGTCATTTCCCCAGAAGTTCACTAAACAAAGCCAGGATTTTAGCAAAGCCCCAACTGGTTCTCAATCATTTACCAAGTCAACCACCACATCCTTGTGGAAAGTGCTTCTCCATTCTGCTGCTACATTGCACACATACACCACTGCCTCTGGGTCATCCGCATTGACATGGAAAATAGGTGCATTCACCACCCGGGCAACGTCGGTTGGGTACGGAGAGGAACGGGCCATACGAGGGTCTGTAGTGAATCCGATCTGGAAACAGAGCAATTTGGGGCCATCATGGAAAACAGCAGAAGGCAGATACAGAAAGGTCTAGAAAACAGTTTTGCTTGGCAATCAGAAAGTGCCCATCACTCAATATCTCAAAATGCTTCACACAGAGTGGGGGAAAGGAGAGTTCCCTCCACTTTGCAGAAGGAAAACAGACAGATTTTAAGCGAGTTGTTGGCAGAGCTGGGAGTAAATTTGCAAGCTTCCAACTACCTACTCATCCCCGCTCTAACCACAAGGCCACACTGCCTCCATGTCAGGTTAGACCAAGGAGCTGTCATGATTGATGACGAGATTTTTTACAACAGTTTACCCCACCTGCTGGATAATAGAGCTCCAACCAGAGGTAAGTATTACAGAACAAGGATAACACCTTTCCTAGGAGGAGGTTAAGATACTGGAGAAAGCTTCCAAGGCCACTAAAGGGAGGAGAGGGAGAAGAGGCAGGGCAGGGATTTGGGGAAGGGTTTGGAATAGGGACGGGGAGGGGGCGGAGTTGGGGTGTGGACTTTGGGGAAGGGGTGGAGTGGAGGCAGGGCCAGAGTGCGGGCTTTAACAGAAGTAATTCTAAAACTAAGTGTGTGTTTTGTCCTTTGAGTGAGGTGCATTACTGCGTGTATGTATTTTATTAAAACTGCTCGGAAATGACTTAGTTGAAAAAAAGAACACTCATGGAAGAAAAGAGAGTTTTCCAAGACAAATGGGAGAATTTATATTTATATTTTTATTTTTTTCACAGAGGTAAAAGATCAAATTCGATGCCTTTTTTGTCAGCAAACGATTGCTGTTCCCAAGGAGTAAAACGTGCATCGGCACTTCGACCCGATGTACTGTGAAAAATATGATGCATTCACTGGAAAAATCCGAGCGGAAAAAGTTCGGCAACTTAAAGCAGCATTTGTCAAGCAAAGACATTTCTTTTTGGAGATTAACAAGTCTAGTGAAGATTCAGTAAGAGCAAGTTTTGTGATAAGTGAAATGATAGCTAAATCATAGAATCATAGAATAGAATCATAGAATATAAGGGTTGGAAGGGACCCCAGAAGGTCATCTAGTCCAACCCCCTGCTCAAAGCAGGACCAATTCCCAGTTAAATCATCCCAGCCAGGGCTTTGTCAAGCCTGACCTTAAAAACCTCTAAGGAAGGAGATTCTACCACCTCCCTAGGTAACGCATTCCAGTGTTTCACTACCCTCTTAGTGAAAAAGTTTTTCCTAATATCCAATCTAAACCTCCCCCACTGTAACTTGAGACCATTACTCCTCGTTCTGTCATCTCCTACCATTGAGAACAGTCTAGAGCCATCCTCTTTGGAACCCCCTTTCAGGTAGTTGAAAACAGCTATCAAATCCCCCCTCATTCTTCTCTTCTGCAGGCTAAACAATCCCAGCTCCCTCAGCCTCTCCTCATAACTCATATGTTCCAGACCCCTAATCATTTTTGTTGCCCTTCGCTGGACTCTCTCCAATTTATCCACATCCTTCTTGAAGTGTGGGCCCAAAACTGGACACAGTACTCCAGATGAGGCCTCACCAATGTCGAATAGAGGGGAACGATCACGTCCCTCGATCTGCTCGCTATGCCCCTACTTATACATCCCAAAATGCCATTGGCCTTCTTGGCAACAAGGGCACACTGCTGACTCATATCCAGCTTCTCGTCCACTGTCACCCCTAGGTCCTTTTCCGCAGAACTGCTGCCTAGACATTCGGTCCCTAGTCTGTAGCTGTGCATTGGGTTCTTCCGTCCTAAGTGCAGGACCCTGCACTTATCCTTATTGAACCTCATCAGATTTCTTTTGGCCCAATCCTCCAATTTGTCTAGGTCCTTCTGTATCCTATCCCTCCCCTCCAGCGTATCTACCACTCCTCCCAGTTTAGTATCATCCGCAAATTTGCTGAGAGTGCAATCCACACCATCCTCCAGATCATTTATGAAGATATTGAACAAAACCGGCCCCAGGACCGACCCTTGGGGCACACCACTGATACCGGCTGCCAACTAGACATGGAGCCATTGATCACTACCCGTTGAGCCCGACAATCTAGCCAGCTTTCTACCCACCTTGTAGTGCATTCATCCAGCCCATACTTCCTTAACTTGCTGACAAGAATACTGTGGGAGACCGTGTCAAAAGCTTTGCTAAAGTCAAGAAACAATACATCCACTGCTTTCCCTTCATCCACAGAACCAGTAATCTCATCATAGAAGGCGATTAGATTAGTCAGGCATGACCTTCCCCTTGGTGAATCCATGCTGGCTGTTCCTGATCACTTTCCTCTCATGTAAGTGCTTCAGGATTGATTCTTTGAGGACCTGCTCCATGATTTTTCCAGGGACTGAAGTGAGGCTGACTGGCCTGTAGTTCCCAGGATCCTCCTTCTTCCCTTTTTAAAGATTGGCACTACATTAGCCTTTTTCCAGTCATCCGGGACTTCCCCGGTTCGCCACGAGTTTTCAAAGATAATGGCCAATGGCTCTGCAATCACAGCCGCCAGTTCCTTCAGCACTCGGGTGCAACTCGTGGCCCCATGGACTTGTGCACGTCCAGCTTTTCTAAAAGTCCCTAACCACCTCTATCTCCACAGAGGGCTGGCCATCTCTTCCCCATTTTGTGATGCCCAGCGTAGCAGTCTGGGAGCTGACCTTGTTAGTGAAAACAGAGGCAAAAAAAGCATTGAGTACATTAGCTTTTTCCACATCCTCTGTCACTAGTTTGCCTCCCTCATTCAGTAAGGGGCCCACACATTCCTTGGCTTTCTTCTTGTTGCCAACATACCTGAAGAAACCCTTCTTGTTACTCTTGACATCTCTGGCTAGCTGCAGCTCCAGGTGCGATTTGGCCCTCCTGATAACATTCCTACATGCCCTAGCAATATTTTTATACTCTTCCCTGGTCATATGTCCAACCTTCCACTTCTTGTAAGCTTCTTTTTTATGTTTAAGATCCGCTAAGATTTCACCATTAAGCCAAGCTGGTCGCCTGCCATATTTACTATTCTTTCGACTCATCGGGATGGTTTGTCCCTGTAACCTCAACAGGGATTCCTTGAAATACAGCCAGCTCTCCTGGACTCCTTTCCCCTTCAAGTTAGTCCCCCAGGGGATCCTGGCCATCCGTTCCCTGAGGGAGTCGAAGTCTGCTTTCCTGAAGTCCAGGGTCCGTATCGTGCTGCTTACCTTTCTTCCCTGTGTCAGGATCCTGAACTCAACCAACTCATGGTCACTGCCCCCCAGATTCCCATCCACTTTTGCTTCCCCCACTAATTCTACCCGGTTTGTGAGCAGCAGGTCAAGAAAAGCAGGTCAAGAAAATCATTGCGACTCTTTACAGAAGACCTATTCGTAAAAGAATGTCTCATGAAGGCCAGCGAAATTTTATGTCCTGATAGGAAGAAAGTTTTTGAAGGCATAAGCTGTCTGCCAATGCAGCTTCCTGCAGGATAACGGATTTAGCAGATAATGTGCAAAAACAATTGATTCAAATGGCAAAAGACTTTAAAGCATTTTCAATTGCTCTTGATGAGAGTACAGATGTATCAGATACCGCACAGAGTGCAGTGTTCATTAGGGGTGTGGACTGCAATTTGAATATAACTGAAGAATTGCTAGACTTAATGCCACTGAAGGGTCCCACAACGGGACGTGACATGGTTCAAGGACTGGAAGAGTGCATTGAAAGCTGCGCTGCCATGGAACAAACTCGTATCTTGGGCTATGGACGGTGCGCCATCAGCGTGCTCTGAAAACGTTGGTGTGGTTGGATGATTGAAGACCAACCTGAACAGCCTCAATATACCAGGAATTAGCTTCACCAATACACATTGTATTTTGCACCAAGAAGCCCTGTGTAATAAAAGTCTACAAATGAAGGAAGTTATGGACGTAGTTGTTAATACTGTTAATTTTATACATGCACGAGGGCTGAATCACAGACAGTTCACTTCTTTTCTAGCAAGTATGGACAGCAAATATGGGGAACTTCTGTATCACACTCAAGTTAGATGGCTGAGTCATGGAAATGTTTTGAAGTGTTTTTTTCCCACTTAGAGGAGATTGATTCGTTCATGAAAATGAAAAACAAGGAGGCTCCACAGCTTGCTGATTCCACTTTTATCTGCAACCTTGCTTTTCTAACAGATGTAACTGATCACCTGAATGCACTGAACTTGAAGCTTCAGGGTAGAAAACAGGTGATATAACACACATGTATGACAGTGTTAAGTCAGTCAAAGTCAAGCTTACTTTGTGGGGGAAACAGCTGACTGCTGGCAATTTGGTCCATTTCTCGACTCTGAATTCCTAAGGAAAAGTTGAACCAAAATCCTTGAAAGAATATGCAGATATCATTTCTAACTTACACAAGCAGTTTGATGTGCGGTTTAAAGATTTCAAGGCACTTGAACCACATTTTAAACTTTTTTCCACACCATTTGCTGTGGAAATTGACAATATTGCAGAAGAAATGCAGATGGAGTGAGTGGAGCTTCAGTGTGATACCATTTTGAAGCAGAATCCTACAGATGTTGGAATTTCAGAATTCTACAGGTTTCTTTCACAAGAAAGATTTCATGTTATTCTCTGCTTCTGCAAGGATAATGGCAATGTTTGGAAGTACATATATATGTGAACAGTTTTTCTCTTCCATGAAGATTAACGAATCTGTGTTAAAGCTGAGGGAACTGGGATTGTTTAGTCTGCAGAAGAGAAGAAGGTGCACAGACAATCCAAGAAGTTTTTGGAAAGGGTAGGGGACAATTTCCTGGTGCAAGTGCTGGAGGAACCAACTAGGGGCAGAGCTCTTCTTGACCTGCTGCTCACAAACCAGGAAGAATTAGTACGGGAAGCTAAAGTGGATGGGAACCTGGGAGGCAGTGATCATGAGATGGTTGAGTTCAGGATCTTGACACAGGGAAGAAAGGAGAGCAGCAGAATACGGACCCTGGACTTCAGAAAAGCAGACTTAGACTCCCTCAGGGAAC